CTGCGAAATATGTCTCACATACGCCCCCGAACTATCAACGTCTTAAACAAATGTAACTAATATGTGGTAAAAATGAAAATTTAATCTCAGCGATAGCTGTGTGATAAACGTACATCTCTGAAATAAAACTATTTGATAGAAAAAAAACAGTTGTTAAATTATCTTAAGTCTTAGAAAGGCATTGAGAAGTGATTATGTATGTCAACTTCTTTATTATGAGGAACACCACACAACACAACACAACACAACACTCAGAAACTTTTTGGGGTGTTCCTCATAATACAAAAGTTGAAATCCATAAATTCTCTTCGTTAAATTATCTTAATAAAAAATAATAAAAAGGAGCCCAGAGAATCTCTTCATTTTCAGCCTGAAACTGCAGTAATCTAGACTTACCAACTATATTATATTATAGACTTGCATGGGTTGTTTTGTTATAGGGTTTGTATGACAGACAAACTGTGTAACAGCGAAATGTCTTACACAAAAAAACGTTATGAAAAAACACGATGGTATGGTTGAAGAATGCTCCAAAGCAATGTAACTGACAGGCAAGTTACATTGTTATTGAAACCAGGATGGGTTTTATGCTCAATTCCCTCAAGACTATTAAGTTAGGTTTTCGTTTTGATACACGCAATTGAAAACAAATACAATTTGACAGTACAAAGCGACATCTCCATGTTACACACGATCAAGTCGTTTAGAAAAAGGTAATCGCTGTAATTGTCTTGAGTAAATATTAGCAATGTAAACTAACAGCGGGAGTATAACGCTTGCACGGGAACCACCTGGCCGGGGAGCGAGCGCCAGCGTCTAAATAGTTACATTGAATTATGTCGTAACAACTCTTAATTCAATATCGTTGAACATAGATAGGGACTTACTAAACAACAGCTTCACAGCTTATCATAACAATCTCCATCTGGTCGTTATTTAATCAAGGGTAGTAGGTTCTTGATTGCATCTGATTGGGCAACATTTCCTGAAGCCATATGTCGACACTTTGGAACAACCGTGACCCAAGGTCAAAGATGAGGTGTCATAACTAGGTGTAAAGGTATATTAGTTACGTTTACGTGAGACAAACTCTACCTGAGGCGGATGTTACTTGTTATCTTCATCATTGACGAGTTTATTTTGAGATCCTCCGAGCACAAGACTCTTGACCGCGCGGTTCTTTGAAGCTCGGTTGCAGTGCGTGTAACGCTTCCTCGCTGCAGGCGCTCTCGCCTTGAGTGATGTAATATGTAACTGATAGAGCTATTTTGGTCAGTTCTCGGGGCCCGAAGGTCCGGTGTGGACTTTGTTACGAGCATCGAGGTATTAGCGTTAATCAGGCTGCTGTAACTGTAGATGCGATGCAGCAGATGTGCATACTTTAGATGTAGTATCGCTCGTCTACCGCGGGTGCTGTAATACGATTGCTGAAAATGTGGAACACTGCATCTAAGCGTTTGATCCTTGGATTAAGTTTAGAGCTCCATACACAGACGTATCGCACTTCAAACGTCATCGCCGTACCTGCAAGCTAGACCAGCTTCCTGGTTTTACCATTATCTAATTAAGATGTAGCCTGATTGACGGTCGTAATTAGCACATGTTTGTATGCACGTGGGGAAATTCCCCTTTACATACATGTTATCTACCTTGATTTCGTTTCTTTGTGGGGGTTTTATAGGTTGGTAAATTGGTTCGTTAACGCCCACCTGTGTAATTAATGGTTGTTGTTTAACACCACACTCAGCAATATTGATTGATATGATGGTCATAAACCGCCAGGGTACAATAACATGCAATCACCAATGTCACTGGACCTTACCACCGATACATCGGGAAGTCGCATCGTACGACAAGCATTATTGTGGTTGCTTGTTTCCAGTTCTAACCCATGACCTGTACGACAAACATAGGATGCTTGTGACCATTCTAAGCCATGACCTGTACGACAAGCATAGGATCTAGTGACCATTCTAAGCCATGACCTGTACGACAAGCATAGGATCTAGTGACCATTCTAAGCCATGACCTGTGCGACAAGCATAGGATCTAGTGACCATTCTAAGCCATGACCTGTACGACAAGCATAGGATCTAGTGACCATTCTAGGCCATGACCTGTACAACAAGCATAGGATGCTAGTGACCATTCTAAGCCATGACTCCTACGATAAGCATTGGTTGCCAGTGACCAAATTCTAACCCATGACCCGTACGACAAGCATAAGTTGCTAGTGACCAATTCTAAGCCGTGACCCGTACGATAAGCATTGGTTGCAAGTGGCCAATTCTAACTCATGACCCGTGCGACAAGTATAAGTTGCTGGGGACCAATTCTAAGCCATGACCCGTTCGATAAGCATTGGTTGCCAATGACCAATTCTAAGCCATGACCCGTACGACAAGCATTGGTTGTAAGTGACCAAATCTAACCCACGATCTCCACGGTGTAATTAATCTACCAACACATCTCAACTGCGTGGCAAAAGAAGGTATGCAAGATAGGTAAACAATTAAAAAATTGGATTTGACCAAAATGTTACGAACGTTATCAAAATGTTACTTGAGTGAAAAATGTCACCGAAACAAACAGCAAGCCTAAGGTCCCAAACACAACTATGACACCCGTATCAAATACATCACCGTTGAATAATTATTTCTTGTTTGTTTCATCTTAGCAAGGGCGTATACTTTCTTTTGCCCGTTAGTTTAGCAATATTTCCAGAACCCGAAATGAGTGAGTTGGTTCTGTTTTACGCCGCTTTCAGCAATTTTGCAACCATGTCATCTTCGTGTGGAATCCGGGACAGAATACCTTCCCGGTTGCCCTTGCTTGTCGAAAGAGCCGACTAGAATCCCGGGTGGTTAGTACGGTGTCCTGGATGACTGTATCACCACCCCCTCGACATGGATCAGTACTCGTGTTGTCAACCACTGGTTGGTGTGTAGTCACAGCAAGCCGTGATGTTGCTGGGATGTTGTTGACAACAAACAACAGAAGAGCCATGTTGGCGGGGGACACGAGGAACAGAATTTAAACTTTAAAGCCATCAGGGGAATAAAACCCAGTCTTGAACACGAAGCGCCAACATTTTAACCACTACAGTACCCTACGCCCTAGTAAGCACCTGAAGGGTCACGAGACGCTCTATATGTGTACTCTCGTAATGATGTAGACAGTTTCCACTTAAATCAGACTTGACTTTTCCAGCGATCACGTCCCAAAACACCTCGTTGCCGTCTCGTCGGGGTTTTCTGTTTTGGGGATTACAGAAGTCCCTGTTTTCCCCCAATTAGACCGACTCCCGCCGCCAAGCACCATTCCCTGCACTTGGAAAGGTTTGTTTGGATCAGAAGAGGAAATACTCCCGTGGTTCAAACCCGACGCCGTCATTAAGAGAATTGTATCATATGAAGACTTTTGTGAGGGGACGCCAAGCAAAACACTCCAGCTCCTTGTATTTCCATTGCGCAATAATCCACAATTTGCAAGTGGGGAGATATCGACAGAGAGCCTCACAGTGAAGAGAGTTGGTACACTCGTGTCATCGTCGGCGTCGTTATTAATGAGATTTCGATGACCCTCGATGTCAGAGCTGGTTCCAGGAGCCTAACACTGATCAGCTATAGTGACAGCGTCATCACCTGGACAAACAGAGCCTAGCTATAATCTACATGCATGTCAGCAGAGATGGCTTATATAGAACAAAATAACCCTAGAAGCAATTTAGTTGATTCCAGTGGTATTTGCACAGAAATTATTTTGCGGAGTACAATGAATGCTAAAAGGTCAACTGCCGTAAACCGTCTGGGGTGATAGCCAGGCAATTTCTAACATGTCGTGAAAGTATTACCGTATTTTGTTGATGTTTTCAAGGGTCCCGACTTAGGAGTCCTGTCAGTGGGAACGACGTACAGACACTCTCCGTAATGATGCCAATCAGCTAATAGATGGAAGGATGTATATATTTCTCTGTTTCTTTCCGCCTATGCCCATACCGCTGGACATTTTGACGCGTTCCATTTGCGATGGTGTTTTTAAATCGGCATGAAACATCGTAACACGTTTTATCTGCTAGGCGGGTTATACGTCATGGCAAATAACGTTGTGGAAGTATAATAATTCTGAAACTTTCAATTTACAAATCATATTGGACCTTTCTTTTAGGGGTCGGGGTGCAAAGAGGGATCACGTGAGACACGTTGCTGTTGGTTACAGTCTGTTGTTCAATAATCCTCATTTATCATTTTGATTTTTAACCTTTAAAGTGATCGATATCCAGTTGGGTCCTTGCGTCGCCTGCAGGTAGTGGAAGGCTGCCGTTCACGTCATCGTTCGTGCACAGCCGCTGAAGCTCCGTTCCGCTTGTCAACAATTACATGACGTCACAAAAGCTATTCGAAGGAGTCCAGGTGTTGTTCTGATTGGCTGTTTCGAGGAAACCAAGGTAACCACGTCTACACGCCACGAGGCTCCGTCTATATATAATCATTGCACAAGCCTTCTCACGTCAGAATGACTAGGGCCGTGTTGGAAATGGACACCGTCACTTTTTAAATGTGCCACTTAAAATGCATATGTCGGTGTATAACCAGAAACCTAATCACCCAGAGTCCCTCTGTGAGTCAGTATCTAATGTGCATTGGTATTTCCTGCCTCTCATATTGTCTTGTGGAATAAGTGACGTAAATTATACCAGCGGTGAACATGAACTCTGCATTTCTGATAATACTAATTTGGATTTGTTGTAATCGAGACGTACCATGTATCAAGCTCAATATATCATATGACTCTAATCAGAGGTATCTGAATGTCAACTGTCATACACTATCTTCCTACTACGTCATACGTTTTGTTGCTCTACACCCTACTCTGTTGGAAAACACCAATTTGAATGTCAAGTAAATGTTTCAGGTAATTTAAGCAATTAACCAAGAGGACTTCCCGCTGAGGGTTTTCCATGGGCAGACTGATAGAATGTGGAAAATACACAGACAACGTTTATCTTAAAATATGTTTATTTGCACTGTTTCAACAACAACATCTCCATGCAAATGGTCCAAGGATCCATAAAGGATCATACATCATTCATACATACAGAAGTCGAGGTGAGACGTCACTCGGATCGGGGCACTGGCAACTCCGGGTATATCGAACTTCGGGATAACCACAACCGGATCTTTAACAATGGTTCGTTACTTCATATATTCGAAATTAACTTGACCATTAAGGTCAGTTAACCCAGCTCAGCTCAAAGGTTAGTAAGGTTCGCTATAACCGATGTTCGATATACCCGATTTCGTAATAGCCGGAGTTGACTGTTTCAATAAAACTTTTGTCATCCTGGTTCTAAAATTATAAATTATTTTAGACAACAGTTTGAATTATTATCACACACTAATCTCATCAAACTTCTTGCCCCTTCTCCAAGCGAATCTGCCATCGACTTCCGGTTCTACAGTGATCTCGCGAGAGATTGTGATATGTACAGGATGATAACAGTACTATAAGTGGACTTTCCTGCGGTTAAAAAATCTAATATTCACAATTTTACATGGATTTCATATGCTACATGCGTATCAGATCGGTGAATTCATATTTGGCAAAACAACGTAACCTCACTGACAACAATGCCTGGAGATAATGAATCGCATTAGTTACTGATGTGAATAGACGTGAATAGCGCATGAATAGAATATTGACCCTGTTTTAATGGACATACGAGGAAATGGATGCCATAAGTACTTGAACATAATTAGGAACACGGGGCATATTTGTGCAACCGATGATGATCTGGTTGACAATCAGTGCCCATAGAATACCTGGGGACAGATTGATATATGCTGTCGAAGCAGTCTCAAGATAGTATAATTGATAATTAGTGGTATTATGCTATATATCAGAAGGTAATCAGTCGTTGTAGCCAACATAAAAGTAGAAATGAAATCGACGTAATTACAAAATATAATAACAGAATTCTTATAACGTATCACATTACAAACGCAAATTTCTTCCAGATGCATTGTGGAATTGAGTTCGGAGTAGTCAAGAATATACACATACCTGAAACTGACCCCGATACTGTTTTAAACAGGAATAATTTAGGATATACAGTGTCTGAAGACACAGTAGCACTTAATGCATTGTAAGAAATATACAACAAATATGCGAATTGCTCAAAGCGTTCACATAACCAACAACAATCCTCGTTGCATTGAACATAACAATAGCTCCGAACAATCTCACGACTAAAATCCATTATTGTTTCGCAACGACAAACAGCAATATTTTAAACGGTACTTTCATTGAACAATATTTTGATTTTCAATAATACTTTGTTTTAATATCATTGAGATTTAAAGCAATTCAAATATGGATTCATTTCATATTTTGGAAAGAAAAAGGAAATGCCCAATGTATAAACGTGTATACTGATTTCTTATGATAATAGTTATGTAACATTACATAGTAATGTCAATATATAGAATACAATGTCGATATCTACACACACTCTCATTCATACAAGGCAATATCACACGCGTGTCAGTGTATATATCTATGTGCAGTTGTCAATATCATCTTGCCTTTACATATGTCCGGACTGGTGGCAGCCGTTCACATTTATTGCAGTTGCCCACGCCCTGAATAAGGTTGAAATTTTGATTAGGCCCGTATTTAACAATAAAAAGACGAGGTCAGAGAAACGACGCCTTACTACCCACGTAACTAAGACCAGGGAGGATGGGGGTAGTCTCATGTCTGTCCCCAACCGCATTCACACCTCAGATCTGAGTTCTTAGTCCGATGGCTAAGCGTTCCACATCCTGAGAGTCCTTTCATCCCAGCGTATGGATCCTATACCCACATGGCTATTGCCCAAGTAAAGGTTAAACTTAACTCCATCCGGGACATGCAACAGGCTGATAGTAACATTAACGCCTGCGCAATGGCAGCTGGTGACATCATCCCATTCCGTTCTGGAGGAAGCATGACAAGGAGGGTTTGTGTGCAACTCATTCAAATCCTATCACATGAACGTGTCCCCACAAACAAATACACAATCTTGGAAGGTGGGTAGAGCTGCAGCATGGGCGTACAGACTCGTGTACAAAAATAAGTACTTTCTGTTACTGGCAATTGAAAAATCTTTTAGGCTTGAAAATAATACATGACGAGGTTTATAAAAATAAGACTTCTCGTCTGATATCTGGCAAGAAAAACATGGCAGAAATGTGCTTGCAGACATTGTGTGACCAACGACAGCAAGAGGACATCACAATGAATATACGAAACTCTACACAGAGAACATATACAACATACTGCAATATCTCTGTCTTTTACAGTTTTGCTGAACTTGCAAAACATAGTTTCCTTAGTTTCCAAAATTGCCTTAAGTAGGTTTATAACAGCGCTTGAAATTACCACGTGCTATGAAGCCACGTTAATCAAGCCAGAACCGTTCCCCATACAATCGTCCAGATTAACAAATGTCCGGATAATTGAATCATTTGAATAGTGTAATGTTCCTTTGTAGCTATGTAAACGTACCAACAGTAATTGCCAGGAATTGTCCGGAGTAACAAGTTTTCCGGACTAACGAGGTCTTAATTTGACGGACACCAGTGACCATTTGTGACAATACTAAGGGTTGAAATAAACTTTACCAACGAAATTAATGTTAAGGTCCAGATGCCCAGATGCCCGGATGTCCAGCCCGAAGGCCGGCCCTTCCGGAACCTCCTTGAGCCATGCTTACATGGTTAGGAATACCATCGACACTATACTTGTTCTTAAAGAGATCTGGTCAAAAGGCATCTGCTTCTTGAACGTCTGTTTCTGTGCAACGATGACATACCATCGCCGGTGTTGGTTCTTCTTCCATCCCAGGGTCGGGTCAGCGGTCAATCAGCGCCATGAGGTAGTACAGTGGGACCAAGAAGAAAGGCAAGAATCTTGTAACACACATATAATAAATTATTTCAATCTCATTTTTATCAAAACGTGACTTTGAGCACCGATATCATGTAGGCCACCTAAAGTTCTGACCAACCATTTGGTAAAACTTCAAGTTGAAAGGTTTATAGAAGTCCCGTAGTCTTTGTAACACGTGGGGGTCAACAGAAGGGTGCTGGCGACCTTTCGTTTTCCCCAAGCAATGAGGCTTGCCACTCCCACCTGGTTTCTTCAGACATGGAAATCCACGAGTCTGATTCAGGTAAAAGTGTTTGTCCGTTATAACCCGTTCTAGACCAAGAAAATCCTGAACTTTGGCCATTTCGCCCGCCGGGTCCACTATAAGTCTCTCCCCGCTCACAAAGTGGAACTGGCGGAGTGGGAAATGTTTGAGCCACCGGTCAAGGTGTTTGGGGTATACTCCAATTCTCACTGCACCCCAAGACGAGTTCACAAGGCCGGTTCTGTTGTCCAGAAGGGCCATTTGTTCAAAGGGTTTCATTCCTGGTCTTTTACTGGCTGCCTGGGTGTAGTCCGAGATGGCTCTGACCACAGGGTCCCTGACCACAACGATCAGCTTCACGTTCCTGGACATGTTGAAGACCTTCTTTGGGACATCGCGAGTGACGAAGTAGCTTGGGGTCTTCTCGACGGTGAGCTGGCCCGGTGTCGTCAACGGCATCTGCTCTCTACAAAAACGAATAACATACGTCAGCTGTGTTGTTACGATCTTAATTACAGAATTCACATCACAATAGCTATCATTGAATGAAGCAATTAATCTTTTGATTGAATAATCCGATACGATATTTACAATTGACTTCCCTGATATGTAGATTCGTAGGTTTGTTCCTGTGCCGGTTTTGTGTATTCATACAAATTGAATTAATATATTGTACATCCCGAAATTTAGTTAACCTTCGTACTGCCATTGGTAACATATGGTAATTCAAATGTTAATTCAATGGCACAACGCTCTTACCTAGCGTTGAAGGTATGCAAATACAAATATGTCATGCATGTCGGTTATATTGTGTCCGTGAATATTTTACATGTTCTTGTGGTACATGTTGTTGGTGTTGTTGGTGTAAAATGGTCCTTGCAATATAAATATTATTGATCGAAATGACCTGTATCTGAACACAAACAAAGCTGGTTACAACGCCGAGAATGAACGTGTTGTGACAGGCTGGCCCGGCCCGGGGTTGATATTAGCTCAATTACTTAACGGATCAGTGATTTGTCCATCTGGTATCCACAGCCCCATTAAACGGCCGGACATGTCATTTACTCCATTCTACTGTAGACATTAATATCCGTTTATTATAGACACTGTTTAGATTAATATTCAGATTTACAATATACTCTTCTCCCGATGAGCAACCGCATATTAATGTACCCATAATAATTCTGATAATTGTTATAATATTCATAACCACGATTGATATTTGGAACTCGCACAGTGGTCATTTAGCAAAATGAATGAAATGGTCCAGTGAAGAGAGCAATTTAGACAAATATATTGTCGGTAATGAGGACGGCAGAAAAACAGCTCGCAGTCGGACACCAGACTAGTAAACATCGAGTAAACAGCACCTTTTATCAGTATCTACCACTGACCGTCATATTAGTTCTGTTTGACTGATAGCGCGGGGTATGGATATACATCAAATCAATTTACGATCACTTTGTCGCCTGAACCAGAAACCCCCTCCCTCAAGTGCAATGACTGATCCTCGAAACACATGCCAACTCGACAAGTGACATACGAACACTGAAGTAGAAAAGATCAGAATCGATCAAAACAATGGAAGCCTTGATCTCCAACACAAATATATCCCGCCCCCCACTTACGCTGGTAAAACCGGGCGGTTGAAGTCAATTTCCAGACATCTTGACGTCGGTTATACGTGGAAGAGTTGCTTGGGAACTTGATAATTTTGACACTACTGGCTCCCCAATACAATACAAAGCCATCACGTTGATCCAGATGAAACGCGTGTCATATTGTATTGTATCATTTCCACGTCCATGTACACATTGTATTTGACAAAATATGAAGTGGAAATGAAAATAATGAGATTGAAATGCATCGACAAATTGTTGGAATGAAGCTTTTACAGAACTCCAACCCGTCAGAACAATCCAATACAAATAATTGCACAACTCTGGTTCAAACACTCTATTGTCTTTGTTACAATGATGTCAAGTTCAAGAGCAACGCGGTATCTGTAATGACTATTATTTTTAATCCAAACTAAATAGAGTTCTAATTGCTTCTATTCTTTAAGGGAAGACTATAAAACATTCCCCTTTATCAATCTCTTTGTGCATACTTTCAATGCTTAACGTTTTCAAGTTTTCAATTTCATCCGTGACTGGTCCAGAGAGATTGAGTGTTGCTTTGTGCTGTGAAGCTTCTGAGCGTCCACGAAGATGTTGTCGGTGTCGCTCGAGAGCCAACCCTCTTTCGTTATCCCATCCCCAGTTCAAGTCACACGGGAGACACGGGGCTAAATTCTTCATGAGTTTAGACATACATATTTGATGAGAGAGTATTAAACTGGTCTCTCGGCTCACAGTCAGGACAACGCTTCAATCAATACCTCCAGTACTGCCCCGTTCTACCACGCCGGGACATTAGCAGGTTACAACTGCCGTTCTTAAACATACGTTACGCGTAATAGACGTAATGATGTTGGTTTAGGATCATTTCGTTACGTAATACACGCGATGCGTAGCGTGCACGTTGGAAAACTGGGAATACAGAAACAGACTTGAAATTCAATAACGTAACGATCTCCGGCAATGTTACTCGAAGTGTATTTTGAGACAAAAAACCGACGAGAAGACATAACAGTCAAGAAAAAAAACTAAGTTATGTAAATTTTGACAGATGTGAAAATTTGATATTCGACAAATCAAATGTGCGTAACAAGTTGAAGGAAACTTTCCGAGGTTACACGCTGATGTCAAAACAGATAAAGAATGTTGTGTATTTCTTGTAGATTCCGGCGATCACATTTTTCAGAACGAAACCTCTTCCTACTTCAAACTGGCGCTGTTTCAGAACCCCGAATGTAAAGAACAACCAATATGTTTTACCTAAACAATTCAAAGACACAGTGAGGCAAAGGGCTCTTCAACTGCGTGTTTTCTAGTTCACTTCAACTTCTGAATTGCGGAAGTTCTCGATGGTGTTACAAGGCTTGCACGACGCTTCTTCAAAGACAGCTGGAGCCGACATTGTGATTTTTTCATTACGTTTTGTTCCAAAGTAGCGTGTTTCTCTCATTGCTAGGGCTTCAAGTCTTTGAAGGTGTTTTACCCTGCCTTCACGGGAAACCTGAGAGCAACAATGAGCTCAATAGATTTCATGAAGAGCTCCAGCTAAATCGCGGCCTTTTTCTCATAATAACCGCAGAATCGTAGGTTTATATTCCCTCCCATTCGGAACGCACTCCTGTCGGCAGGAAGCATCTCGGGTTTATACAAAACACATCCACTAATCAGTACACAGATGTAGGAACAGTACATATTGCCTTTACGAAGCGATTCCAGATGCTTCCGCATCATCGTGTCTCTATCGAAACTCTTCGGAGAGCACAGTGTGGAAGTACGCCTCGGATAAAACCAGACGCATTGCCGGAACACTGTGGGACTTAATGATGCTGTAACTCATTGTCTGATATCCTGCTCTGTCGTATAATTTACTTTTCGATTAAGTAGCAGCTTGTTGATAGAGGGACATGTCTCAGATCAAGAAAAGGCTTAGTTTTAGAAAGCCAAGAGTAGGATTTCAGTCGGATCCATACTACCTTATGGGATACAAAGAATGGGCTTCAGAAATAGAAATGCATACATGTAAGAAATTAAACCCGTGTCTTCCGAGTAGCGAACGGATGCTCTAACCAGTACCCTTAATACCAACCATCCTACGCCCAAGCCGATATCGTGAGCGACGTCCGAATTCAACGACAGGTGCCCTGTTCATCACTCTCATGCATACGAACTTTCACGGGAAATCCCGAGGTCGCCCGACTGTTCCTGAATGCGATGGCTTGGTAAAACTGAAGACCAACATCCATCAACTTTGACAAAACCAACCCTGGTTTCTGTGAAAGTCATCAATATTGTTACATACGATTGTTATAAGTCACCGCGAACATCAGAATCTCATTAAGGCTTGCTTCAGCGCAAGGGACAATATGGTTTAGCTTGGGTTTCATTACCCCCTTAGAACGTTACTGTCCCGAACGTGAAATATTGCCCCGAATAATGCCAGGGTGCTGTGGGAATGTGAAGACAGTTCGTTGTTTTAGCTGCCAATCAATACAGGCTGTGAAACCATCCATTTCATTCACGTCATCTTGTGATCATATAAATTACCCTCTCTGTAATAGGTTGTGGGTGATCCCTGATTGCTCCCGAAACAGATATAATTAACAAGGAGGAACATGTGTAGGTTTTGACACTGTAATTGTATAACGCTGTCTCAGATAGGTGTCGGTCGATGACGGATATGTGGTGAAAGGATGCTTTTCTTTCCAACACGCCAGTCTGGCTTCATAAAAGTTAATTACCTAAATCGTACTCCGATAATGCACCTATATAATGTCTCGACCATCACCGTGTAGACTGCATGCAGTGCTGATAAATATGTAATGCAGATATAGTGTCGGGGGATAATCGCAGTTTGGTAAATCTAGCATGATTCCATCGACTCGGTTTACTGACAAAGTGTCAGATTGCACCTAAACTCTTCCAATTATGGACCGTCATAAACGCTGCTATTACAGTAAAAACTCATTAATTCAACGGCCTTGGGATCTTCAAAAATACGTCGAGTTATCTGCTTGTCGAGCTAAGCGTGGTGTCGATATAAAGCCATATAGTGACAACTATTATGTTGAGACGATATAATATGTGTTCTTATGTAGCTAGTTAATGTATTTCACGCCACTCTTCCTCGACTGATGATAAAGCAATAGCAATGTATGTCGAGAAGTGTGTCGAAACAAGACCAGGGTCCGTTCAACAAAGGGATCTTAGCGAAAGGCTGTCCTCCGTCTATGTTAAAGTATGGGAGAAACGATCGTCTAAGCGCTGATGTAGTTTTAAGGAACGGGGATCAGGGCCTACTTGCACAAAGCCATATTAGTGCTTTTCAGTTACTGTTAAAGTGTAGCAGTAGTCTTAGAGTTAAGATCATTTTGTGCAGATGGACCAGGATAAGGTCAAAATCATGTCACATCGTCGTAAACGACATATACTTCTCAGAAACACCCAACTCTTTGATATTACTAAGGTTAATCTGTCAACGCATTTTGAGCGGTTGCGTGGATCGATGCTTATGGTGTCAATCACTGGAATGTCTGGTCCAGACTCGAATATATACAGACCGCCGTCATATAGCTGGAATATTGCTGAGTACAGCGTTAAACAACAAACAAAACATTTTGAGTGGTACATATGAGAGAGGGAGAGAGAGAGAGAGAGAGAGAGAGAGAGAGAGAGAGAGAGAGAGAGAGAGAGAGAGAGAGAGAGATTCCACTTTATGGGGCTTGATTTCATAATTATTTACGTTTTCAAAAGTTGTAATATATGAAATTGGATATCCGTGTAGACTTATACGCAGGAGTATGAGACGAGGTTACAGATGCGCGCCAGAAGCACGAGTGTTAACGTG